AGGTCAGGGTGACAGGCAGCAGACAGGACAAGATGATCACAGGGCCCAAGGATGAACACTCCCGGGAGGAGAAAGTGTGTAGGCGGAGGCTGGAAGGTGTGGAAGACACATCCTGGGGATTGAGCCCAGGGGCCTGGTCCAGAGCTACAGCCCCAGCCCTTTTTATTTTTATTTTGAGGCACTGGCTCGCGAAATTGTCCAAGCTGACCACAAATTTTCAATCCTCCTGCCTCAGCTTCCCGATTACAGGTGGGTAGCACCATGCCTGGCTCACACGCACACCACAGGTAAGGGAGCAGCAATGGGCGAGGAACCCAGCCGCAGAGGCAGCTCTGGGTCCGTCCTGCCCCTGCCTCTTCCCAGCTGCAGTCTGCAGACAGGTCCCGTAACCCAGGGCGGGTGCTCCTGAACTGGAAATTTGGAGAATAACTCTTAGCTGTATCTTACAGGTTCACTGAGATGAACACACAGGAGCTGGCTAAGTGCCAATGGCACAAGCATTCGATATACGAGGTTGATGGTGTCTGTAAGTCAGACAGGTAAACTGAGGCATGTGGTGAAGACCAGCTGTTGTTCACAGCAGGAAGGTTAAAGCCACAGGGCACACTGGGCCTCTGCTTTAAATACCGGGGAGCACATGGCCACATCAGCACTCTGTGTCCTCCCTTCAATTACTGTCCAGTCAGGCCGCCAGGCTGTGACACTGGCCAGTACTGTCCAGACTCGGAGGCTGTGTGTGGGCTGGACGAGTGGGGGTCTGGGCTGACGGACACCCCAACTCCATCATCCCTGCCCCTGCAGCTGTGTCACAGTCTTGCCTGCAATACATCCACAGCCAAGCTCTCCGAAAGCTGCCTTTCACCTCCCGAAGGTCTTCAGAGCCACAGGTTTTCCACCACATTAATATGCAGCTCCGGGAAAGCCTCAAACTCAAAATCGGTCAGTGGGACCGGGGGGCGGGGGGCATCTCTGCCCACAGAGACTTTTCCGCTCATCCCCAGCCCGCAGGCCCAAGGCCAGCTCTGCTTCTCACAGTGCAGCCATGCGCTGCTCTCAGCTTCCTATCCTGCGTGTCTCATCTCAACCCGCCTTCCTCCCGCCCACCGCTGACCTCCCTTTGCTCCAGTTTAACACGGTGACAGCAGTCCAGGTCAGAAGGAAAGGGTCAGAGCTTTCCAGAACCCCACTGCTGCCTCAGGCCACTTTCATCTACTATCCTCCTCCTAAACCTTTCCTCCCTCCAGACTCTGCCCACCCTCCTCACATTAAATGCGATAATGTGAGCAGAAGGACAGGCTGAGGGCCTGATCACAGAGCATGTCACATGCTCTCTGGACCTGCTGCCAGAAGCCGCCCATGTTCCTGGTGATTTTAGGTGCCTCACAGTCTTCTCCACCTCCATCCAGCCTCCAAATGCACGCGGCAGCTCCAAGGTGCATCCGGCAGACACGCCAGCCCCTCGGCTCGCTAAGCTGTTGCGACACTCACCCCTCTCTCGTGCTCACACCCTGGCTGTCACCATCACTCAGAAGAGCATCACCAGAAATCTTTCCTGGGAAATCCCAGCCCTCAGTTCTCTCACCAACTCTGCACCTGTTCCTCTAAGCCCTCATCTCTAGATGTTTCCCTTTTCGCTGTTATCACTTCCAACTACTTGTCAGCATCTTTCAACACCAGGCTTAACTCTCCCACAGCCTTGTCTGAAAAGTTCCAACTGTCTGCTTCACTTTTGCTCCTGGAAGATGCTGAGAGAGAAAAGGCAGACATGGGCACATATTCATGCCTCTGAAATGGATGCTTCTCAGCGGCTGGCATATACTCAGGGACCCATTATATGTCGCCTGCTCAGCTCCTTCTGCAATCCTCTCCACCACTACTCTAAACCCAGCTTGGTGACACACAGCTATAATCCCAGCACAGGACACAAGTTCGATCCTAGTGTAGGCAACTTAGTGACTTAGCAAGACCCTGTCTCAAAAAAAAAAGGGAAGGGGAGCTGGGGATATAGCTCAGTGCAAACAAAGGCCCTGGGTACAATGCTCCAAACCAAAAAAAACCAAAACCGAAAAACTAAACTTGTACTCATCCTCAAAATCCCTGCTACCTCCCCCCTGGTCTACAGAATAAGTCTGCAAACTTTAGCCTTCAGGCCAAATCCAGCCCTCTGCTGTTTTAATGTGGCCTGCATGTTACAAATGTTTTATAGCTTTAAAGGACTGGAAAAAAATCAAAACAAGAAAATTTTATGACATCATAAAAATTCATGAAATTCAAATTTGGGTGTCCGTAAGTAAAGTTTCATAGGAACATTGCTATACCCTATACCCGTTTACACATTACCTAGGGCTGTTCCCATGCTACCAAAGGCAGAAGTAAGCAGATGTAACAAAGACTGTGTGGGCCACAAGGCCTAAAATGTTTACCTATCTGTATAGATCCATGAGAATGCACCATTTGTATACTTACATGGGCCTCTCATCTCCTCCCCTAGTATATAAACTCTTCCACAGTAAGAACCTGGGTTTGGTTTTTTTTTTAATCCTTCTATTTCTACCACACGGCCAGGTACCTGGTACTAATAGGATTAAATAAATACTTAATTGATCTAATAATGACTTGCAATGTGAGCTGGGCTTTCAACAAAGGGCAAGACTGAGATAAGAAGTGGAGGTTGGCTTTCCAAGCATGGCCAAGGGAACCAACCAAGTGACCTGCACTTGGGTAGAGAAACCGAGGCCACAGGCATCCACAGAATAATCACAGCCCACTGCTGGTGTCACCATCTGTTCTAAGTGCCAGGTCTATAAAGCTGGTCTTTACTCACACAAAATTTGGGGTGCTGCTAGGTAAAGATATCCTTGGCACCCAAAATTCCCCACCACCAAATCAGAAGTCCCTTAAAACCTGGACAGTTTCCTTTTCAGGTAACTGAAATATCCTTTGAGCACCCTGGTTCGTGAGTAAAGAACTTACTATCTCCCACCTGAGTCTTCTTATTATGAGCACCCTTAGATCGGGATTCCTGTGTACAATCAGGTCTATAATGCGGATGTGAAATCCTCTTCTCTTATTAGGGACAAATGGAGCACAGCGATTCGATACAGAGTTTAGGAAATGGATGAAGAATGGGCTGCGCCTACAGGTGCCGCATAGAGAAGTCTGCGGAAACCAGCATTTGGAAGCAAGTCCTTGTCCACTGAGCAGACACAGAGCTCCCTCGGTTAGTCAGACATTTCAGATACAACGCTTCACTTAGCCAGGATGAATTAGGCAAGAGCTTTCCTTTCCCATTCACAGAGGATGAAATTTGTCCCTAATCATCTTCTCATGCCTTCTCTACTTTATTATGATCGCAGAGTGTGTCTGTAGGGAACTGTTTACCAGAAAGAGAAGAGGACTTCACATCCGCGTTATAGACCTGATTGTACACAGGAATCCCGATCTAAGGGTGCTCAGAAGTTACGAGAATACATAAGAAGACTCAGGTGGAAGATAGTAAGTTCTTTACTCACAAACCAGGGTGCTCAAAGGATATTTCAGTTTTTGCAGGTAACAAACAGCTTGACAGAGGCCAACCCAGAAGCTAAAATGCCTTAGCATCTGATACCACTCCCAAGTTCCTGATTTTCTGGATTTTGCAACTGATGAGAAGGCAGTAGTCAGATCCCCGGGGTAAGCCGGGCACGGGGTGGGGGCGCAGTAAACAGTAGCTGAATAAGGCAGATGCCCAGGCCTCACTTCCTCATTGCTGGAAGGATGTGAGTGGAAAGGGCAGCAGGTACACTCTTGTTAGAAGAAAAGGAAAATGAGTTGTGACAGGAAAGGGAAATAAGCCAGGCAGAAACTCAGCAGGAGACAAAAGCTCTTGCAGGGTGAGCCCTCCTCCTCCTCTGGTGCGTCCTGCCCGGCCTGCTTCAATCCACACCCATAAGTACACACCTGATCTAGCCTGAGGCAAAACAAAAAGGAAGCCAGCCTAAACCTGAGGAAGATTTCTTACTGGACTGCTGCAGCCATCTGTAAACTTTGCTTGTTTTTGGTTGTTTTGTTTGGCTTTCTCCATATTAGAGACTGAACCCAGGGCATTTAGCATTGAGCTACATTTTTCTTTTTGAGGCAGGTTTCACTAAGTTTTCTGGGATGGATTGGGCTGAGCTTGAACTTTGAATCCTCCTGCCTCAGCCTCCCGGAGTGCTGGGATTACAGGTGTTTGCCAGCACCCCTGGCTGCCATGTGTAATTACAGTCGTACCAGATAATTCCTGCACAGTGCCAGTAACTCCTCCAGGGCTGCCCTTCACCACTAAGCTGTTCTGCTCCTAAGGCTCAGCCTCAAGAATACAGACTAAATAAACCAGGCCCCCAGAAAACCACAGGATCCTGTGTGTGGCTCCTCCCTTTCTGAAGGGCATCACAGTGGTTAGAAAATAACTGTCACCCGACTGGACAGCTCTCACATCTTAAGTCTAAAACCCTGGTGTCTCCTTCATAAAGCTCTGGATGACAGTCAATATATTAATCGGGTCTATATTTAAAGTTGGATCACTCAAGTTAAAAGTAACCACGACTCCCCGATGGAAGAAACACTTAATTCATTTAACAGACTACTTCAGAATTTGATTATAAAACAAAACCAAATTTAAAAAAAAATTCAGGCCAGCGGGGCATGGTGTGCAGGCATGTAATCCCAGCACTCTGGAGGCTGAGGCAGCAGGATCGAAAGAAAGCTCAAGTCCACTCAGGACAACTTGGCAAGGGCCTGTCTCAAAATTAAAAACTAAAAGGGGAGGGGGCGTAGCTCAGTGAGAAGGCCGAGTTTCAGGGGAAAAAAAGTTGCAGAGAACTTGCTGCAGGGTGTACGAATATCTTTCACAGTCACAGAAGAAAGACACTAAGCGTTCAGTCGTGCACAGCTGGCAGCTGTGACAAACGCAGGCCGGGGGTGACGCCCCCCACCCCGACCTCACCCCCGACCGCCCGGCGGGCAGGCCCTGCGGTTACCTGGTCCAGCGGGATGCGCAGGAGCTCGCTGAGCGGGTGTAGACAGGTGGAGCCCGTGGTGCGCGGGGACAGACCGGCCGGCGGCGCCTCCGCAGCCATCCCGCATCTTCGGAGCGGCTGCCCGGCCCGGCCCCGCCACAGCTCGGCGCTCCCGGCCGCGAAGGGGCGCGCTCTCGGACGGGGAGGGCGGGGCCGCGCCTTCCCGCTCGGCTACACTCGCCGCCCATTGGCCGGGCAGTGGGCGGGGGAGGAGCCAGTCTCGGCCACGCCCCGTGCTCCGGCACCGCCCTGCTCTCCGCGCCCGAGGTCCGCTGCTCCCCGCCCGGGTGCGTCAGCCTCCGGCCAGCACCTCGAGGGTCACGCCCTGTGTCGCACCAGCCGGTGCTGGGCTCTGCTAGCCTCTGATCCCTTCGGATGGAGATTATTGACCCCTCCTAGAGACGGCTTTTCCTGGTTTACCGTGAGCACGCACGGTGGCGCGTTACTTCCTGCCACGGGGCCTGGACGAGGGTTCTGGGCCCCTTCGCTGCGCCTGCTCTGCTCACAAACACCGTTGTGGCTCTGTACTTGGGAAAGCTTTTCAATTATTCAGAGATTTTAAGAAACATAAAAAGCTTAAATCGGGCGTGGGGGTGCGCCCTTGTAGTCCCACCTAACTCGGAAGGCTGAGGCAGGAGGATGTCACGAGCCCAACAGTTTCTTCTGATCAATCTAGATAACATAGTGATAGTTTAAAAAAAAATTCTGAGGGCTGAGGATTTAGCTCAGTGGTTCTGCTGCTTGCCTCGCAAGCTCAAGGTCCAGAGTTCGATCCCCGGTACCAAAAAATAAATACATAGTCATTTCAATTAAAAAAAAAAATTCTGAAGATCTCTTTCCAGGAAGTGCTGGATGAAGAAGTTTTCAGGTAAGCATTACCCTGGAATAATGGGTAGAAAGCCAAAGTAACGTGTGCTCCTTGCCTGTAAGGCTGGCATTCTGGGAGGCTGAGGCAGGAGGATCGCAAGTTCAAGCCCAGCCTGCGTAACCTAGAAAGACCCTGTCTCAAAATAAATAAAAAAGGGTTGGGGAAAATCTGTGCCAAGAATCCGGATCCAGTCCTCAGGACTACAAAAGAGAAAGAGAAGGAGGGAGGGGAAAGAAACAGCTTCTGTGGCCGCCAGACTCTGCTGGGAAACATCTGGAAGCTGCCTCTGAGTCAGGGCAGTGACTTGGGACAGACTTAGGAATGTGGCCGCCGGCTTCAAACTGAACTTCAGGCTGTCAAACACTGGCAGCCACTTCCTCTCCACAGCGGGGCTCTCCGGGTTCCTTCACCAGAGCTGCCCGAGTAGTGTAGCGCCGGCCAGGCTTCTCGGCCCCTGCCAAGGAGCAAGGGAAGGAAAACACCCGGAAAGCAGGCCACAACCTCTGCTTCGCTGCTCACAAGCCAACCTCATCCATACACACACCTGCACGCACGCACACACACACAGGCACAGAGAGAAGACTAACCTACACACTCAAACACATAATCCTGGAAAATGAACAGAGTTAAAGCAAAGTGCATCTTACATTGTGCAAGATCACAGCTTCGGTGAGGTATTTGACATCAGAAGGGACTTGAAAGCCATTTTCACAGAGAGAGAGAGAGAGAATATCAAAAGTATGCACTTACAGTCCCAGCTACTTGGGAGGCCAAGGCAGGAAGATCACTTGAGCCCCAGAAGTCTGAATCCAGCCTGGACAACATAGCAAGACCCCCAATTCAAAAAAGAAAGAAGGGGAGGGAAGGAGGAAAGGAGGGAGGAGAAAGGAAAGAAAGAACACTTAGATGTGAATGGCTAGGAAACAGAAATAGACAAGTAGTTTGGGTACTGTTATCTGAAGTAATGCTTCAAACCATTCATATTTTCCAGAAACAGGATTAGCCTCTTTAGACTTCAAAGAATGATCTTTGCAAAGGCATAGATTTTTTTTTTTAAAGAATTAGTCCTGAACAAGTTTTTTTCTCTCTCCAACAAAGCAAAGACTATAATCAACTTTCAAATTGTACTTTTAAAATGCAGTAAGAGCTGGGCCTGGTAGTATACACCTATGATCTCAGCATTCTGGAGGCTGAGGCAGAAGGATTGCAAATTCAAGGCCAGGACTATATAGCAAGTTCAAGGCCAACCTGGACTACATACCAATATCCTGTCTCAAAAAAAATCCAGTAATGGTTCTGCTGCTTGCCTTGCAAGCGCAAGGACCCAAGTTCGATCCCTGGTCCCCCCCCCCCCAAAAAAATAAATCCAGTAAAACTATGTATGCTTAGATTTTTACAAATAAAAGAACATATAACTCAAAACTTAATAGTTCTGTTGATACTATTTGTTATGGCTTGTGTCTAGATGTCCCCCCGAGCCTTACGCAGTCATACGTGGACTTTTCAGAGGTGGCTAAATCTGGAGTGTGTGGTTCTGGGATTAAGAGGGTGGATAATGGAAGGCCCACCCTGGATGTAGTGAACCCTGGATGGCATATGAAAGGAGGCTTCTGGTGCTGTGGCTGCCTCTGCCACTTTTTGCTTGCACACTACTTTGCTGCTTTGCTACCTTCCTGCCTTCTACCCACCATGAACTGTTTCCCCTCTGCCAAGGCACTCTGCCTTGGAGCCAGCCAACTATGAACTGAAACCTCTACAAACTGTCAGCTACAATAAACCTTTCCCTTCTTAACTTTGGGTATCTGGTATTTGGTTTCAGTAAAGAGAAAATTAACTGAGACATTATCGTACAATGAAAGCTAAAATGACTATGAGAAGACATAGACCGGAGAGGGGAGAAGTTACACTATGGATTAACAAGAGTTTTTTGTTAGTAGAAGTTTGGAGTACATGATGTTTATATTCATCTTAGAGAGTGAGTATACATACTGAACATATCTTAATTCTTTTTATTCCCCTTCCCCTCCTTACTGATCTCCTTCTTCTCTAGATCCCCTTTCCCCATTTTCATTACTACTATTACTATTCCTTTCAGTTCATGTTTGAGACATATAAAGATTTCATTCATTGTGAGTAGTTGGTATTTAAGCTTGGGTGTCTGATTTATTTCATTTAACATTATGTTTTCTAGTTATATCCATTTTCCTACAAATGTCTCTTGTTTATCCTTCTTTAGAGCCAAGTAGCTCCAATACATATAGATACCACATTTTCTATATCCATTCATCTGTTAAGGAACATATAGGCCACTTCCAAGATTTAGCTATTATGAATTGTGCTGCTATAAACATGGGTGTACATATATCTCTGTAACATGAAGTCTTTAATTCTTTTGGGAAGATACCTAGAAAGGGAAATAACTGAGTCAAATGGAGAAATTTCCATATTTTTTATAGTAGTTATACTAGTTTACATTCCCACCAGTGGTCCAGAAGGGTTCCTTTTTCCCTGCAGTCTCTCTAGCATTTGTTATTATTTGACTTCTTCATGACAGCCATTCTTTCTGAGGTAAAATGACATTTCAGTGTTGTCTTGATTTGCATTTCTCTTGTGGTTGTGATGTTAAGCATTTTTCATGTATTTATTGGCCATTTGTAGTTCTTTTATGAAGTGTCCGTTCATTTCATTTGCCCGTTTTTCATTTGAGGCTTTATTTTGGGGATCTAATTATTTTGAGTTCTTTATATATTCTAGATATGAGTCCTCCTTCTAAGGAATCAATGGAAAATAATTTTTTCCCATTCTATAAGTTGTCTTTTCCCTCAGTTGGTTGCTTCTTTTGTTGTACAGAAGATTTTTAATTTAATATAACCCCATTTGTTGATTCTCAGAACTATTTCTTGTGCAAATGGGATTTTGTTCAGAAAGTCCTTGCCTATTCCTGTATGACTTCAAGAGTTTTACCTGTCTTGTCTTCCAGAGAGTTGTTTCTGCTTTAACATTCAGTTCTTCGATCCATTTTGGTTTTATTTTAATTCGTGGTGAGAGATATGGGTGTAGATTCAATCTTCTGCATGTGGATAGCCAGTTTTCCCAGTAACATTTATTAAAGAGGCGATCTTTCCTCCAGAGTGTATTTTTGGCCCTGTTCTCAAAGATCATATAGTTGAATGTACTTGGAGTTGTTTCTGCATCCTGTATTCTGTTCCACCGATCCTCATGTCTATTTTTGTGTGCCAGTACCATGCCTTTTTTTTTTAATCATTGTAGCTTTGTAATATAACTTCAAGTCTGAGGTTGTGATGCTTCTCACTTTGCTCTTTTCACCCAGGATTGCTTTTGCTATTCTGGGTCTCTTCTGGTTTTATATAAATTTTAAGATTTTTTTTTTCTAGTTCTGTGAAGAATGCTGTTGGAATTTTGATTTGCTAAGTCCATATATCAAGTTTGATTTGCTAAGTCTGTATATCAAGTTTGGAAGTATGGCCATTTGACTATATTAGTTTTGCCTATCCGGAATGAGATATGGTCCCATTTTCTGATATCCTCTTAGAGTTCCTTTTTCATAGTACTGTACTGTAGGGTACATCCCAAAGGTCTTTCACTTCCTTAGTTAGATTAACTACTAAGTATTTAATTTTTCTTGGTGCTATTTTAAATGATATTTTCTCCTAATTTCTTACTCAGTCTGTTCATTATTAGTGTTCAGGAGTGCTAGTGATTTTTGTGTGTTGATTTTTGTATCCTGCTATATTACTGAATTTGGTCATTAATTGTAAGCATCTTTTGGTGGATTTGGGGGGATCTATGTAGAGGATTATGTTATCTACAAATTCCTTTTTCTTTTCTAACTGCTTTAATGTGAGTCTTTTCTCTCTTCTTTTTGGTAAATTTGGTTAAGGATTTATCTATTTTTTTATTCTTTTCAAAGAATCAGCTCCAATTTGTTGATTCTTTATATTGTTTATTTAGTCTCAATTTCATTACTTTCTTCCCTGATATTTATGATGTCCTCCCTTAAACTTGATTTGGGTTTGGATTCCTGTTGCTTTCTAAGTATCTTGAGGTTCATCATCATGTTATTTATTTGAGTTCACTCTGTTTTTCTAATGTGAGTATTAACTGCAATGAGCTTCCTTCTTAGGACTGCTTTCATCGTGTCCTGTAGGTTCTGATGTGTTGTACTGGCATTGTCATTTGCTTCCAAATATTGTTAATTTTTCTTTGATTTCTTCTGTAACCCATTGAGTGTTCAGCAGTGTGATATTAAGTTTCCAGGTGTTTCTAAGTTTTTGGTGGTTTTTGCTGTGATTGACTTCTAGTTTCAATGCACACCAGTCTAATAGTAAACATATGGTTTTGATCCTTTTGTATTTATTTAAGCAGGGTTTGAATGCTAGTATGAGTTCTACTTTGGAGAAAGTTTCATGTGCTACTGAAAAGAATGTGTATTCTGTTGTTCTGAGATGAAACACTCTATAGATATCTATTAAGCCTATTTGTTAAAAGGTGTTGTTCTACTCTGATATTTCTTTGTTAATAATTTGTTTTGCTGCTCTGCCTCTTTGTTAAAGTGGGCTATTGAAATAATCTAGTATGATTGTATTAGTGTTTATTCAGTCTTTTATGTTCCACAGTATTTGTTTTATGAAAGTAGGTGTTCCAGTGCTTGGTGCATATATATTTAAAAGTGTTATCTCTTCCTGCTGGATTATTGCCTTAACTAGTATGTAATGACCTTCTTTGCCTCTTCTAATCAGTTTTAACTTGAAGTTTGCTTTATCTGAGAATAACATTGCTACCCCTTCTTGCTTTTCAGGTGCTCATGCATGAAATAATATATTTTTTGTTAGCTGGGTTTCTTGAATGTAACAAACTGTTGGATTCTATTTTTTGATGCAGTCTGCCAATCTGTGTCTTTTAATAGTGGAATTAAGGCCATTAACATTGAGAGTTATTACTGAATAGTGCTGACTTATTCCTGTCATTGTATTCTTTTTGCGATGACTGCTTCATTTTTCTTTCTTATTCTTATTCTTCTGGTTTTTTTCTTTTTTGTCTATTTGCCTTGCTTGATGTATTCATTCCATCTAAATTTTAGGCTCTGTTGGCTTCATTTCTCTAGAATATCCTTGAGTATTTTCTGGAGAGCTGGTTTGGAGTTTATGGATCTCTAAAGTTGTTCTTTTTCATGGAAGGTCCTTATTTCTTCATATATTTTTAACGAAAGTTTTGTAGGATATGTAAATCTGGGTTGGAAGTTGGCTGCTCCTAGGACTTGAAATACATCACTTCAAGGTTTCCTGCCCTCTAAAGTTGGTGTTGAGAAGTCTGCTGTAATCCTAATGAGTTTATCTTTATATAGGTTTTGTTGTTGTTATGTTTTTTGTTTGTTTGTTTTTTGTTGTTGTTTTTTGGTACCGGGGATCAAACTCGGGACCTTGTGCTTTCAGGGCAAGCAGCGGCACTACTGAGCTAAATCCCCGCCCCTTGTTTGTTTGGGTTTTGCTTTTGAGATTCTATTTGTTTGTTAGACACCTGGAATTTGACTAAGATGTGTCACAAGGAGCTTCTTTTCTCATCACAGTTGGTTGAGGTTCTGTATGTTGAAGCCTTCTTTATACTTGGAAAAGTTTTTATTATGATTTCTGTAAAGAGATTTTTTTATTCCGTGTGTGCTGTTTTCTAGTTTCTCCCTAACTGCAATTAGCCTTAAATTGGTCTTCTCAGAGCTGTGTAATAGCAGTTGAGTAAATTTTTCTTGTTCTCTTATCATTTTTAAACCGTCTCTAAGTGATTTGTCATAATTTACCATTTTTGCTCTCAATTTCCAAAACCTTGTCTTCACATTGGTCATTTCTGCAATTTATAAATTCTCTACAATATTCTTATTTCTGTTATTTCTGTGGAATCTCTATATTTGGTAAAGTTGTCATTCATGTTTTGTACTATTTTGGTCAGTGCTTGCAAATTTTACTTGTTTCTCTCTGTCCACATTGGTTATTTTGTGTGATAATTCCATGAAGTTTTGGGTCATGTCATCTTTGAACTCACCAAGTTTCTTTACCTCTTCTTTAATCAGTTTGTAAAACCCTGCTACCTGATTTTTGCTTTTCTCTCCACTAGGGCCCCTGGATTTGCCTTGGGAGAGTTGGGACAGCTTGGAGGAGGTCTTTTGTTGCCTTATTTTCCCTTGTTCCCATTATTGAGTAGAGCGAGGAGAAATTATAGTTTTATAGTTGATATGAAGATCTTTGTAGTTAGATATTGCTTTCCAGTGTTAATTTTTAGCTTCATTTGTCCAGAGAGCGTGTTCACCCCTTCTGATATTTAATTTAAATGGTTTGTACCCTGTCACTGTGTTTTGAGGAAAGAATTATTACTGATTATAACAGCAGCAACAAATCCAATCATACATCACTTATATGTGTTAATCCTAGCATTTACACTTCACCCTTTATCAGTACCCTTTATAGCACATTCTCTGTTGGTATTAGCTGTTAGTCTATTGAGTGGAAGAAAGGAAGGGCAGAGATGGAGGGGTGAGTGAAAGGAGTGTAAGTTAGTAGAAGAAAGGGTAGATAGGAGAAAATAGGTAAAAACTTAGATAAGGGCTCAGGTTCTGCGGCAGGTTTTTTATAGTTGGAATGAAGTGCTAGTATTGAGGGTTTTAAGAAGATATTTGTGAGGGTGAGGATGGGATGTAGGAGGAGGGAGGTGTAATTCGGTTTTGAGGAAAGCTACAGTGTTGCAGTAACCTGTTGATATATTTGTGCACCTATAAAGTGGAAAAGAAGCAAGGGAAGACAAGGAGCTAGGTAAGATAAGGAAGAGCAAGAAGAACAGAATAAAGAGAACAGAAGGTTAACACGAGAAAAGGCAGGTGTGCCTGAGAGGGTGCAGAATATAGGGGAAAACTTGAAGAATTTTAAAAGTGGGAGAAACAGATGGAAAATAAGGAAATGGTGTTGCTACCGAAGCTAGAGTTGAAGAAACAGGGAGATGAAATGAGCAGAGGGAAAGAAAATTAAACCAAAAGCTGACGGGAACCCAGATCAAACACTACAATGAGAAAACGTACGTGCAAGTCCCCCATGGCTACTGTACCCCATGGCTGCTCCCCGCTAGCTTGTTGATCCTCTCTCTGCTCAGAGTTGGGGAGCTTCGCTTGCCCACTGTGAGTGCTGGTGAGGGTGTCAGCAGGCTGCACACATCCCGCTGTTTGGGGGTGCGGGGCGTGATGGGGAGAAGGGGCCGCTGTGTGCAGAGTCTGCGGGAGGACTCCAGTCTCTGCAGCGCTCACAGGACAAATAGGCTTCTGTGGACAGCTGTACCCTGGACACATTGCTCTGTTTTCCTTCATCTGTATTTCTGTTTCCATCCTTTGTCAATTGTGGATTCCCAATGATAATTATAATATTTTAGATGTAACTTTTATAAAGTCATTTCATGTATCATTGGTGATAATCCATGTGGTAATTATGATGATGTCTGTTACAGATAAGAAACCAGGTTTAGAGAATTTAAGTAACTTGGTTGTATTTAATGAAGTTAATTAAGTAAAACACATCTGATTCCAAAGCCTGGGCTCCTCGCCATTATATGTTGCCTCCTCTGAAACAAAGCATTTCTTTCTCTGTCAAGGGGCCCACGTACATATCTGATACAGGCTTGTCATTCCTGTGAAACAGGCAAAACGCTCACTGTCCAAAAATGAGAGTCTGAGGGAGATGCTGCAGGGATGGTGTCCTGTCTGCTTCTCTCCACGAGAGAGTGACGTGTGATATCAGCCAGACATGGTGGTATATGCCTGATGTCACAACTACTGGGAAGGCTGAGGCAGGCTGGACAGTTTAGCAAGACCCTGTCCTAGTTCAGTGGTACAGCACTTGCCTATCAGGCATGAAGCTCTGGGTTCCACCTTCTACGCCAAGAAATAAATAAAGAATTAGGCTTGATATTAACATCAGTTTTTGTATTCTCCTTTATGGAGCCAGCTCAAATGGACATTCTCTAGCAGATCCACTGCACATCCTGATGGAATTAAAGGCCAGACACAGAAAACTCTGAAAAACATTTTGGCACATTCAGGAAGGCTACATGTAACCCTAGACTAATAAAAAGCCACACCAGTCACATGCCAATACAGACCCAGCCAGAGACAATCAAACAACAAATGTGAATCAAGACCATGTTCAACATTTACAGAGGTTTAAACTCTCAAGGAGATAAAATTTTAATGATACATTCAGTCAAGATTCAATCAAAGATAATCACCAACAAAACTGAATTAAAACTATGTTAGTGGTAGCACATGTAAAAATAAAATTGTCTTTTTTTTTTTTTGATACTGGGGATCGAACTCAGGACCTTGAGCTTGCCAGGAAGGTGGAGGGACCACTGAGCTAAATCCCTGGCCCTAAAATTGTCATTTTAATGATGTATTTATGTAATGCTACCCATATTCACAGTGCAAATTTGTTTGTATCATTTCAACTACTCTTTGAGGTTGGGAGGGTGGATAACACTGCCAGTTACCACTTTTATTATTATATCGTCATCTCTGTTTTATGCAGAAGAATATTAAATTCCTGGTCACTTGTGGCTAGCTTTTTCAGCAAAAGTAAAATTCAAATTTTGGTATTACACTGTCATTTTTTTAAAATTTTTATTAATTTTATTGATACATTCAATGTATACAATATAATGACATTCATCATTGGAAATTTACACCTTTACATAATCCACCTTGGTTCTTATTTTTCCCCCATTCCTCTACTCTCTCTTCAACCCCTCCACCCCTCCCTATCTATTTTTTCTTTTTTGTTTCTATTTTTTCTTTTTCTCATATTAATTCCATTCCCTTCTTTCTTTTCCCCTACCCCTCCCACTTCCCCTTCTCCTTTGTACCTTTTCTTCCTATTTCACATTATCTATTGTACCATGCTGTCATTTTTAGTTATACAGAATCTTTTTATTACACTAAAGTCCACCTTCAGGAAAATGACAGAAATTGTTGGTAGCATAGGACATTAAACCCTAGGCTTGACATTTGACACCTGATCTGTAAAATGGTCAAAATGGGCCCAAAGGAAGATCATCTTTGTTTTTTGAGCAGTTTCTTTACACATTATCCACAAAAATTTAGGGGATTTAGATTTTGTAATCAGTGCTCCGTTTCTTTGTGTTTTAGCTCACTTATCTGTGATTACATGGAACACAGACTGCTGCCTACATGTCAAACATATTTTCCAAACTTGGGGTCACAGCTAAACATTGTTTGTATATTGTCACATATTCAGAAAATGGAGAAACTAATCTAACTGAACAGCTACCAATTTTAACTACGATTGCAACGTTACTACATTCCCCCGCCCTTATGAATACTGAATCATTGAGTCATTTGAGATAAATCAGCATAAATTATCTTACTCAAGAGGGGCTGATATGTCCAAAGACAGAATTTGCAATAATATCCCAACCTCAGAAAGAAAACAGCCATGAGGAATGCATAATAGAAATTAGTTAAGGATACTTAGATGCAGAAAGAGTCTGCTAACAACTCCATTAATAAAAATGCTCAGAACAATATTTATCATATGATTTTGTGCAATTTCTGAGTGGTCAGTACTTGAGCCTAAAAGTTAGACTAGGGGCAGATAATGAAAACTCCAAACACCCAATCTCTAGAGCAAAACATAACTGATTCTAAAAATAAGTACTGCCTTTTTCTAGTATTGTGACTTTGAGCAAATCAATTAACTTCCTCCTCTATAGCATCTTTTTTTTGGTACCGGTTATTGAACTCGGATCCTTGCGCTTGGGCGGCAGGCGGCAAAACCACTGAGCTAAATCCCCAGCCCTACTTCCTCCTCTATAAAAAGGGAATAAATATAACCATCTCTTTTGGCTGGTGTAAGAACTGAAGGAAAGATAATATGCGAAATAACTTGTCACAAGGTAATTGATTTAAAAAATAACTGGCTGAAGGTTACCCTTTGTGAGCTCACATTTTATGTTTAACTTTAGCCTTTGGGGAAGGAGGGATTCCTAAAGTGCATTTCACATGCCCTGGCATCCATAAACAGTGATCATAACTGAGTTATTCTTGATGAGTCTGGTGTTGCTGTGAACATGAATTCCTGCAATTCACTGCTCTCTTGGATGCCATTGACCCATCAAGTCCATCCTTGCACTCAACTTCATCCAGAGAGGTAAGTTTCTCAATTACTGTGTCTATTTTCTAGTCTTTCCAGATCATTTGTCACTTCCATTCCTGCTGCTTTGGTTCTCCTATGACCTGGGGACCTCTACGGATTGCCTGAGAATCAATAGACTTCAGCAGAGCACCTCAAGAGCTCTGGAAGAAATGAAGTCTGGTACTTCAATTTTAAAATGATAAACTTTATGCCATTCTACACTGGGCATTCAGAGGCTTTCTATTTTTTTCTTACTACTTGCTTCTTTGGCTAGGTTCCAAATACTTACTATTGCCAAAGAAATGTCCTGTGAATAATAAAATGTGATCAAAGATAATGTCTGAGAATGTAGAGATAGACAAAAGCCGACTCTGTGAGGATTCCATGGTTGGCTGCAGTAAAAGAAAAAAGAAATCCCAGCTGCAGCCTCTCCTAATGCCCCTGGAGCCTAAGATGCTCTGGGCCCTAAGGTGCTGGGACCTCAGTCTCCTCCTCTCCCACCCGGTCCCGCCATGGGGGTTGTTGCTGAGGCCCTGTTGTCTCAGGCTGCAGGGAGCGCCATAGTGTTGGCACTTCAACTTCCTTCAGTCTTGTACTTTGACCTTACTCCTCCCTCTCTCTTCTGCAGCACCATGCCCTGTGCCTGTGACAGTACCGAATGCAACAGTGCTTTGGAATCAGTGGACGGATGGTTTCCTGGCCATCAATGCAGGCAGCCAGACTCGAGGCTGTCTCCTCTATTTTTCACCAGAGTCCTCATGACCCAGCTTATTGTTCTGAGCCTGTCTAGCTATCAGTCAACACACTAGCCTGGCTAATCCTTAATGCTGAGTATACTGGGAAATTTGTTATTTATAGGACTAAAGCAGGTATTTTCCCCTATTCACCAGACTCTTCTCACATACTCTGCCTTTCAGGTCATTTCTAAACTTTTTTCAGTAGTTATTGGTCAATGCTGCCAAAGCATCTTATAAAGCAAGTGTTGATGTCCATAGAGATCACAAAGCTATCCTAGTGGGTACTCGTCAATTTCCAAGAGGACCCAAACTCAGCTGATCACAGGACTTATTTTGGGACTGTCCTTCAGAATTGGCCTTCCCCAGATTACAGGCTTTCCTTTGTGAAGAAGATTCAACACTCAGCAAAAGTTCATTGAAGGGCTGTTATTTATAAAGCACTATTCTAGGTGTTCAGCTTATATATCAATTGACAGACCAAATCCCTCCCCTCTTCAAACCTACACTCTGCCAGGGGAAGAGATAAACAAAAATTAATATTATGTCAGATGATAATAAGTGCATAGGGAAAAAAAGGATAGTAGAATAGAGAGGCTGATGAGGCCAGGGTAAATATGTTACAGTATTTAACAGGGTAGTCAGAGTTGTCTCATTAAGATGATCACATTTAAACAAAGACCTGAAAGAGTTAACCAACTAGATTTTTATGTAAAGAGGATTCTAGAAAGAAGAATTATCTAAAGCAAAGGCCCTAAGACAGGAAAAGGCCTGGCAGTGGGGAGAAATAGCAGTCTGGCCAATAATGCTGGAACAGAGTGAGTGAGAAAGGAAAGAAATGAGCCAGCGAGACAGGGAGAGGGGGCCTGTGGGGATCTTGGAGCCCACTGTAATGACCTTGCATTTCCTCTGACTGCCATGAGGAGCTACTGCAGGGATCGGAGCTGAGGAGTAAAATAATCTGGTTTCTATTTATAAAAATCACTCAGGAAATAGACACTGAAGGAGGCAAGGATAGAACAAGGAAACTAGTTAAAAGGCTATTGCAGGACTCCAGACAAGAGACCAGTGTAGAATTGAGGGGCTGGTAACAGGACAGGTGAGAAGTGATTAAATTCTCCATACAAATCTTGGGAGATCATGCTACTATAACAATACACCCTAGACCAAGTAATTTATAAGCAACAGAAAATGCTCACCATTCTGGAGGCTAAATCCAAGAATCAGGTGCCAGCAGATTTGACCTAACCACTTCCCAAAGCCCCACAACCAAATACCATCATATTACAGACTATGTCAAACATGAATTTTGGGGGCACATATTCAGATCAGAACATACTGCTTCATATGACATTGAAATTAACACCAAAAACAGAAAGCAGCCAATCCACTTTGGGTTCTCATTTTTTTTTTGGCACCCAGGAGTGAACTCAAGACCTTGTGCTTTCGAGGCAGGCAATGGAACCACTGAGCTAAATCCCTGGCCCATCTCATTATTTTTTATAACCACATATTAAAAGAAATGATAGGGAGGAAAACAATCACTTATACCCTTTTGAGCTTATACTTTGCAAGTTATTTGCATTAGTATTAAACACAGTAAAAAAGCATTTAACAATTTATACCTAGCAAGAATTCACAGCACTTCCAAGCATGTTAACTTGCCAGCAACTTTGTTTAGCATATTCATGTATTAAGTTGAAGTTGACAGAATCATATCATGCATATGCTTGTGCAGACACATATGGATCGTAAATCTAACCAAAATCTGTCTTATGGAATTCAGATAAATCAACCCAAGCCTAAGATTACATATTCTGTGCAAAGTGCTATGAAAGCTCATTTTAATTACTTTCTCATCCCTGAGACACAATACCTGACTTGAACAACTGTAAGGAGGAAAGGATTATTTTGGCTCATAGTCTGTTGAGGGTTCAGTCCGTAGTTGGCTGGCTCCAAGGCAGGGCAGAAAGGCAGAGGAACATGGTAGAAGAGAAACAGCTCATGGCATGGACATGGGAAACAGAGAGAAATCAAGGAAGGAGGAAGGGATATAGGTGCAGGCCATGCACCAATGACCCACCTCCTTAGACCAGAATTCTCTTCCCAAATCACATTTAGTTATAAACACAGCAGTGGACTAATCTACTGATGAGTATCTTACCCCATCATTCAATCACCTCTCCAAAACTCTACCTATGAGTAGAGTACCTATGGGGGGAGGGGAGCATCTAGGCATAAACCATAATGTAGCTGTAAGATTTCGCCAATTTATGGAAATTTCTCTAATCTCAGCCCTTGTTCCTTATCTTCCTGGTTCCCACTCTTTCACCATCCACATTTAGCATCTGTTTGTGTCCATTTGCTAAAGACGTAAAAGCACCAGAAAATCCGTGGTGCAGATGTTCAGAAGCCTTAATATTAAATATCTGACATCACTATTTTTCAAAGATCTTTCAGCACCCCTTCCACCAGCAAATTTTGCATAGTACTCCTTTCTCTACAGATGCAGCCCCAGTTCCCTCTCTTACTTTTCTCCTTCCCACCTCTTTCATATTTTCCCTCTATACCTGAACTCCTTCTCCCTCTCCTACTCCTGCTCCAACTCCTCCTCCTCCTTCTGTGTGATGGGGATAGAGAACTGCATGATAGGCATTTGCTCCAAATTAAACCTCTCCTCCTTCAAGTTGTGGGTGTTTGATATTGTATCTCAGCAACAGAAAGATAACTAATACAGAAAATTGGTACCAGAGTACTAGGGCTGTTGCTATGACTCTACCTGACTGTGTGGTTTAGAAGCCTGTGGAACTGGTTTTTGGGAAGAATTTAGAAAGGTTTGGAGATGCTAGCTAGAGAAGCCCTAGAATACTATTATCAGAGCTTGAAAGATGACTGTGAGGGCTGGGGATTTAGCTCAGTGTTTCTGCTGCCTGCCTCACAAGCAGAAGGACCCGAGTTTGATCCTTGGTATGAAAGAAAGAAAGAAAGGAAGGAAGGAAGGAAGGAAGGAAGGAAGGAAGAAAGAAAGAAAGAAAGAAAGAAAGAAAGAAAGAAAGAAAGAAAGAAAGAAAGAAAGAAAGGTGACTGTGATCAGAGTTCAGAAGAATAGAACGCTGATAGGAAAAATAGAATGATGAAACTCCTGAGCCTGGACAACAAAGGCCAGGCTCAGGAGGTTTCACAAACACTCTATTGGCAATTGGAATAGACATCATATGTGTTATGCTATGGCAGAAAATTTGTCTAATTTGCCCATATCCTGATACTTTGTAGGAGACTGAAATTAAGGATGGTGGACTAATTGATCTGGCAGAGGAAATTTTGAGGCAACTCAACATTCAGGCTGTGGCATGGATACTGCTGCTGTTTTTAGCCAGACTTATAGTGAGAATTGGGAGCAAAAGATGACCATAAAAATTTGAAAAACTTGAATTTTGGCCCGGAAGGAACCTGATGTAAATTTGGGGCCAAGAGAAATGTGGTTGCTGAAGAAATTAGCACCATTAAAAACAAACCAAGTGGGCCAGGGATCTAGCTCAGTAGTGCCGCCACCTGCCTCACAAGTTTGATCCCCAGTACCAAAAGAAAAGAAAAAAGAACCCAAGTACTTTGTTCAAGAACAGCAAGAAAGATGCCTCAAAGTACCTCAGAAATTAGCAAGATGCCACCCATCACAGACTTAATGGTGCAAAATTATAAACCTTTCATTTGAGAAATGAACCCTTGGGACCTCTGTTTGAGAAGGGTCGCCTACAGAAATGATTCCCTGGGGTTCATTTCACCATACTCAGTCATCCAGGCACTCAGAGGCTGTTGTAGCTGTAGTTCAAAGAGGCCTAGACACTGATCCTACTAACAAAAGACCTTTGTGGCATCCACTTGATACTGGACTTCCAGGCACACAGAATCCAAGAGTTGTAGGGTCAAGGAGGCTTCCAATCAGATCTTAAAGGAAGTCCTGGGATGTCAGGCAGGGACCTTCTAAGGGAACAATGTGTGAAGCTCTGAGAATAAAGTCAAAGATGCAGCAGAGACCACAGAAAGTCAGAGATTCCAGGAACATAGAACATCTACCAAGGACAACTGCAGCCTAAGAGCCTGAGACAGAGGCCATGTGAGTTGCAACTGGCAAGACCATAGGGGTAGGGCTACCCAAGCTTTTGGAACTCACATTTTACCACCATGTGCCAGGACTTAATGTTTGCTCTACTAAATTTTCATCTTAATTTGATCTGATTCTTTTCTATCTCCCTACTCCTTCCCTTTGGAATGGGAATATTTATCCTGCGCCATTGTACCTTGGCATTATGTAACTTGTTTTTAATTTTTACAAGGGCTAACAGCTAAGAGTCTCAGAAAGAGTTTGCCTTGAGTCTCAGACTTAGACTTTTCAGTAATGCTGAAGCTATTAAGACTTTGGCAATTCTTAGAGCCGAACTAATTGCATTTTACATAATGAAGTAGACATGAGCCTTTTGGAATATTGTGGTTTATACTT